ACATGACATGAAACCTGACCTAGCCGTGTCCCAGTTACACGGCTGCAGCTTGACATTACGCATCGAGAGTTAGGTTGTGGCTGCAGCCATTTTTCATAGAGTTGTGTGTGATTCCAAGCCGCAGCCAAATGATTCGGACACGGCTACCTCTGTAAATGAACACGCATGAGACGTGACGGATGACAACCTTGGAATGGCGAACCATTCAGCGATCCAAAAGCTCTCGAAACAAGCGCTGGAAACTTTCAAAACAGTCCATGGAGACAAAAGTGTCTTCCTGGATAAACTGAACTCTCTCCGGACGAGTATGAATCGAATCCGGGCCACCGATCTTGGCATAGAGCCCGCTGCAGCCGCGAACCGTGTCGAGCCCTCGCCAGCAGCCCCGGTCGGCTACATGTTCGTAGCGGAGAACCCCGTGGTGTCCATGGGAGTCTTCGTGGTGGAGCGCGGATGTCGGCTCCCGCTGCACGACCACCGCGACATGCACGGCGTCCTCAAAGTCCTCTTCGGCACGATACGGGTGCGGTCCTACGATCTCCTCACGGAAGAGCAGAGGAAGACAACCGACCTCCCAGACGTCCTCACCACAAACTCTGAGTCTGACTCGGTGAACTCATCCACGGACCCAGACTCCCCGCTGGCGCTCCAGCAGTCGACCCTGGCAAGAACTCTCCTTCCAGTTCGGCCAAGGGGGGAGGTTGAATTGACCCCAGACAGTGAGCCATGTATTCTGACCCCACTGGAGGCCAACGTGCACTCGATAGAGTCGGTCGGTGGACGAGCAGCTTTTTTGGACATCCTGTCGCCACCTTACGATCCGGAATTGGGAAGAGATTGTGTATACTACAAGGAAACCAGGTTCACTGACTCAAAAGAGAATGTGGGAGATGTGAGTTGGTTACGGAAGATCCCACAGCCGTCCAGTTTTTGGTGTTGCCAGGAGGAATATTTAGGACCCACTGTTGACCTGGATAGCTTATAAACTGATCTTTGGATTTAACACATCATCCAAAGTTAAAGAACTGTTTGCAATTAATGAGCATTAAAACCAATGCAGCGCAGCCCACAGATGGACTTGAACATTTGGGGCACTTTTCTGTTTTAATGGAGCAGCGCAGACATTCGGGAGTTTCACAAAATTGCAGCTGGCAACTACACCACGCCGATGAAAACAACTGCATTGAACGCATGTGTGTGTGCTGATCAAAGAAATGATTGTGCAACCCAATCCTCGGACTGGCTGGTGTGTGCATACGTCGCCACGGTCCCTGTTTTCACCGGCGCAGTACCTGTCATTTTTCGAGAGTCCTGGATGTCGTCGCTGCCCCATAGCCTACATATCTGTAGTTTAAAGATAACTGCAACTGTTAAATCAAATGTATAGATACAGTAGAAAATTCAATGTGCCAACTCTTGACTTTTTCTGTGGAAAGCGCACTTTGACTCGGACCAATATGTTTTAGAACTGCCTGCCTTCTACATTGTACAACTAGACTTATGTTTTTTCTTCCGATTTCCCCAGGGACCTTCAAAAAAGGTTTTTTACAGTGAGGCTGACACATTGATTCTGGTCATTATTCACAAGTTCCAGCAAAGTGCTTTTCTTATTGGTGTAGAGATTTCATATGTTTAGCTTTAAATGTTTGATGCCAAAACATTCAAATGCCAACCTGCCCGGTGGACTTGAAATCATTTTGCTTATGTGAATCCGCTTGTAAACTGTAACGCGCATTGTTTTCTCAAACCCCACATAAGTCTAGTACAGATTTGTATATTCATTTTAAGATTACTGAACCATGATGTTTGATGAATTCTGTCCATATTTCAAAGTAAATGAATTACATCTTTTGTGTGGTTATTCTTGGTTACACAATTTTATTTATAACCTGTGCTCTCTATGCAAGTTATTTTGTGTTTAGCTTTATCAGACTGCAATGCTGGAAAATAATGAATGGCTTGCCTAATTGTTTGTTGAATAAATTTGCTTGTCACTGGTAATAGTATTCTCCTTGTTTTTTAATTATACTGATTTATGTCTGGCCTTGAACTTGAAGATGTGAGGACTTGGTAGTACCTTCTGTTGAAAGGTCTTTAATACGCGCATGTGTTCATTAACAAATTAAGTAATGTGTCCGAACAATTTCCACAGAATAGTCCATGGATGCCGTGCAAGTCGTGTGGAGAGACTGAAGATCTGATGACCTCAGTGACTGAAAGAGAGAATTATTTTTAAATTAACAGATATTGATGGTTACGATTGAAAAATGTACTTATAATATGAGCAATGGGATACAAGAAAATTATGTATTTTGTCATCGTTTGATTATGTCTTTTCGACAACCCCACGGGGAGCTTTGAGTCTGTGTTTACCGGGGAAATCAATGTTTACCGGGGAAATCAATGTTCAAAATTTTGTTAAATGGCAAAGACACACATTTCTGCATTATTTCAAAAAGGTATTTCTCTTTTTCCTGTATGACTCTCATAATCACGGGCAATGAGAGGTCCACACGAGGGCGCTCTATACAACGCACATCGGCTGAGTTCGGGCGGCTTGTTCTCGTTTGTTCACGAACAGCTTGATTTGTTGTTCGTGCCTGTGTCGGTCGCTCGAACGCCGAGAATGTACAACCGGTTATTGACGCTAGTAGTCATTTGTGGCAAGCGACATGCAACATGGCAGCGTCCTTGAGCATTCTTCGAGAGTTAATGTTGGATAACTGGGCTAACTTCTTTTCCATTTAAAAATTCATTTCTGCCATGGAAAATTATTAATGTTAATTTTGCAAAACTTTCTATTGTCTTCAGCTTTGTAAAGCCATATCGATACTTTTGCGGCTGTCCAAAAATCAAATCTCACGAGTTTTTCCGTGTGTTCGTGTAAAATCCTGACGAGGAGGTGGTGTGCGATCCTGTTCCGAGAACAGTGTTCTTGGGTCGTGTCCCCGCCGTTCGAGCGCGAGAACACGAAGCCCGTGTCAAGAACGGACCGCCCGAACTCGACCATCGAGTCAAAACTAAATGACGTTTGCTACTTTAAAAGCACATCAGTTTCTGTGTCAAAATGAAATGTTGCCACGAAATTAAGGCAGATGCGGTGCTTTGTATTTTTTTAAATGCAGTACACCTATCCCAATTTCCTCAGCAAACCCCTTCATCGCCCATAAATGTAAGGAACCGTACCGCAGTAAGGGCGCCCTCATCCTTCTAATATGCGTCACGGAGGTAATCAACATAAAGTAGACACTTTTTAGGCGCTTCCCGGCACGTTCACGCGGTGGCAAGGTGGTCAGCCACCGCGTGCACGGGAAGTGCCTGAAAAGCCTCTTGGCCTTGGGGTCTCGAATGTAGAACCATGCCAGTGTATTTTGCTCCAATTAATTTCCTAAGTGTGGTAGAGTGTGCTAGAAATTCCTAGTAAGTACCTATCGTTGTATAAATATTTCACACGATTTGCTGTCGGAGAAATTGTACGATTTACGGGGACCCAATCTGATAACTGTTTTCTGTATTACAAAGTGCCGTAACGTATTGGTCAGCTATAGCCAGGTGCCCTGTTAGCCTTTGACCATCGCATCCATTGTATTATTATTTATGGTGCTGTCTAGCCATTACACTACACCAACTGTTGTCATATTTAATAAATTGTAGTTCATGAGTTAGACATAGTTCATCATAGTATTCACGTGTTCTCCAAGTGCTCGTGCGCTTTAATTTGAGGACCGTTCCTGCTTCCGGCCCCCACGTCCCGTGGGGCTGGTCCGCTACATTAAATATTTAGCAAGTCCAACACGTCACAATTTTAAAGAATATTGGCCCGGTTTTTCACAACTTAACAGAGTTAAAAACATATGTTTCGCATGAAACATTATCTTGTTTAAATCACATCAATCTATCCATCAAAATCGACCGATCCCAAAGAAAACTTACATTGCGATTCTTGGAATGCTCAGCTCAACATTAATTTGATATTTTGCCAATGGCACATTGCTGCTAAAATAAATGTGTCGTGACAAGACGCACATTCCAAAGGGTGGGAAACCAACTTGAATCCTGCCGACGGAAAATAGGGGGATGGAAAAATGACAGGGAGAGTGGACACGGAGGAAGAACCAGCCCACTTGTTTACAAGTTTGTTAAAGCCAATTATTCAGAGGTTGTTTTGTAAACGTGTATACTTCCTGGTGCATCACTATACTTTCTGTGCTTTTTATTCTTCCTGTCATGAGGTTGAAGTCTTTCCGTGCCCCAAATGCTTGAATGCTCTTGTAAGGATGATCGAGAACCGTGGCGCGTGAACACGACAATGACAACTAATCACGCCGTGGCCCGGGCTTCCGGGCTTTAAGAATTGAAAAGCCCGAACCACTAATGCAAAACTGGCTATATTTTGTTAGAAATGAACAACAACCTTGCCGTTTGCTTGTTTGCTGTTCCCTACTGGAATGCCAAGCGTTAGGTATTGTATTTTTTCCGGTTCTCAACGCACTATACCTAACCTCTACCTTGTTTATCCACTCTCTCCGATGATGAAGAGACAACAATGTGTTTGTGAACGACGTAAATCAGCAAGGTTGGACGGTCGATACGCATAGCGCTGTCATTAATGGAATGGAATGGAATGCTTTAACTTGAAAACATTGTTTTCTCTTGAACAAGCTGTTTTCTCGAATCACATATAGTTCATGCTGTAACTTTCACTAGTTGCTATCAGCTCCAAAGGAAAACACTAAGTCGAGAAAACCAACGCACACTGAGGCCATGTAAGTTATCCACACTAACGTCACATGAGGTACATGTAAGCTTTCAGGGGCTTCATAGCAACTTTGTTTTCTGAATATTGTTTTCCAACATTGTTTTAACACGCCTATCCGTATGACGTATTTATTCACATTGCCGACGGTACAACTGCAATTTTCCATTCTAGCAACCACACCCAGAAGAAAAGGACGGTTTCAGCCTACGAAGAGCTATAAACGCGCCACATGCACACGCTTGCGCTCAGCCGTAGGATCTATTGGAAATCGTGATTGCAAAGAGCTCTCGAATTACACAACGGTAAACCATACGTGTCATCCGGAGATGGTAATACCACGCCCAAAGTGCACAGAAAACGAAGGATTGAAATTTACTTAGACGCAAATATCGATTAGAAAGTGTCAAAGATAGTGTCTTCAACAGTGACAAAGTTGGTGGGACGAGGGGTGCATTCGAGGTGGCATCAAAACCCTCTAATCTCAATTAGGTGCATGGATGGAACACCTCTAATCAGCGAACGAAACAAGACTGGTGGTGCACCTTGTGTCGTTATAATCTCGTGGGGATAATGCAAACGGCATATTTTTTGTTGTCATTTTCCAGGAGACCTGCATGATGAAATTCATCATAGTCTGATTACTTTTTAATGTCCAATGGCCAGTCCATGATGGGGGAAACGAACTGTGATTCCAACGGATCATCTGGGTTAAACTAACAGAAGCGGGTGGTTCTTTGTGTCAACAAACACTGGAACAAAACCGCAGGGCTGTCAACTGCAAAGGCAATTCCCAGGATCAGGTTGGACTTTAAGTTTGCTGTACTTATAGTTTCAAATAATTCTGTCAAACTCCACCGGCTGCACTTTACTAACAATACACCATATTTTTTAATTTCAGAGGGGAACAGAGTCCAGAAACTTTCTCAGACGCGGTTGCCAGGGTGCCCAAGTTCACTGTTTAGATCTGTTTTGATTTGGATGACTACACCAGTACAGTAAACGAGAACCTCTGAGTCGCGGCCTTGGCCTTGCTGTGCCAGCTGAATAGGCCTTGACGTCACACAAGCCTCAAGGCATGCGTGACATACTTTCCACGGGTCCGACCGGTAGTCGTGACGTCATAGAATTCGTCGCTGTGGCAACCCACTGCTGTTTGGCCCAAACTTTCCGGCGGGGCTAGGCTGGCTCGTTACAATTACAATGCGCGCTGGTATAACGCCGGTGGTGGCACAGACCCGCGGGAAACAGCGTGTGAAAAAAAATGCACATGTACATCTATATTTCAAAAAAAGTTGTGGTTCGGATGATCATGTTTCGCGACAGTCTGCTTCCGAGGCCCAGTTTGACGTCACCCTTAGTCACAGGACAAATCGCTCACACAGGGATAGCCCGCAACCAGAGCAAGTGAAAGTCATGAGCAACGCCGTGGAAGGACCGGAACCGCCCCGCTGAACAATTAGGGTAATCCCTGGCCGGCCTTGACTGCCGAGTCTGGAAATGATTGTTCGCGGATAATGCGATTAGGCCACTGATATAATACAACGTGGTTACTGAACGAATTTACAAAGCATACTGGAAAAATCTTAAATCCTTTCTGTATTCTTCCGTTCGCTCTATTTGCCTTCGTTCCAGCCAAATAACTTTGTTTGAAAAAAAGCAGACCCTTCACAGATAGAGACGACATTCATACGGGTGTTGAAAGTACAACCAGTGGCGTCAATCTATCTGAATAGGGGGGAGAGAATGGGGGATGAACGGTGAGGGTTGGAGGAGGCTGGAAACCAGCTGACATTGTCATGAGCGTCCCTCAGACACCTCCCAACAAATGGAGTTTCTTGAGATCTGATGCTACATTCCGATGCTACACAATTCACGGATATCATAATAAACTTAAAGGTAGAGAAATGGAGGATATCCTCTGGCCTATCCCCCCCCCAAAAAAAAACTGTTAGGGGATACCAAATTCACCCCCCCCTTCCCCTCGGGATTCACGTCCATGAGTGCACAGCCCCTCGTGAAAATTATGCGGCCACGTGGTAGTCAGTAATATACAGACTCTGCAATTTGACGGTTTCCCGACTGCGCGTGATGTATCAAGGTTCTCTGTACACAGCGTTCAATGAACAGGGGATTTCCGGGGGGAGAGGTTGGGGTCGGGATCACGGACAACAGGTCTGTCTCCTCACTGTGCACAATGTGCCTAGTTTCCAAAGGGTTCCCTCACCGGAAAAGTATAATGTCCTGTGGAAACACAAATCGACAAAAAAATATGTTCACGTTTTACTTCACCGGCCTCGGGTACTGGGAAGTTGTAAGGAAAACGATTTCTGTTATGGTTTGCTTAGTAAATGGGTTTAGAAATTTGGTGCGCTCAAATTCACCAAGGGAAAATTTAACAAGGCTTGTAAAACAAAAACCGGCAATGCCATTGATTTAGCACCAATCTCCATGTATGTCCTGTGCTGTTTGATATATGAGTCAAATAATACAAAATTTTCATTAATCCACCCCTGGGTATATGTAAAATCATATTGAAGTTGGAGGACTAAGGACTCTTAGGGCTAACGGAGGACTCTGCAGGTCTATCAGGCGCCCTCATGTGACACCAAGTTCTCCTCTCACTAAAGGAATTTCCCGAGTTATTTCGCGTCGTCGTCTTGTCATCAAATTATATGAAAATTTATGTGTTTCTTGTGTTTTATCGGACATTTGCCCTTAAAATAAATCTTCTTAAACTATTTCAGACACTGGTAATTTTTGTTCTCTTTGGTGTCAGGCTTGGTTTGGCTGTATGTTTTCGATTCGTCATTTAAAAAAGTTATTTAAAAATGTAGTTTACGTCATCATTTCAAAGCAAGTAGATCTGGATCTTGCCTTTGCGGTTGTAAAATGTTCTTTTGTGATTTGGATATTAATTTTCGTCTTTCAACATTGTATTTGCTCTCTCCATCTGTGAATATAAGAAGCAGTACATAGTTTATGCGCGACCAACGCTGAAAAGTTCTCGATTCTGTCGATTCTTAGGAGTCTTTGGTGGAACGCTGCACGAAAGTCATGAATTCAGCGTAACCCGTTCATGCTTTTCGCCAAGATGGCCTGGGTCGATGAGCTGCCAATTTCCACGTGTACATGTACAGCACTTCAGGACATCGAGTTGAGAGATACAGGCGCGGCAGTCCGCGGTCGAACAGCACGGGGAACGCGTAGCCTTCTCCTCAGTCCACGCCCAGCCCCCTTTTGTTGCTTCACAGGTGTATTTCCGTAGACTTAGGGCGACGCAATACTATGCTCCTGTTGAGAAAATTGCGTGGGTTGCAGTGGGTCAAAAATCCCCCTTTAAAAAGTCATAATGTGAACTGAACTGAACGACTATATGATTGAACTTACGTATTAGCGAGGCAACCTCCACAGCCCTAGACCGCACAAGAACAGCATAACATTGGGCAAATTTGTTTCGCGTGGATCGGGATCGAGATCATGTGCTCTGTCGCTGGTTTACTGACACCAAAACCCGCCTGGTGGATCGAGCGAACCAGCAATAGGATCACTGATCGAGATACAGGCCGTGTCCGAAACGGGCTTCCAGAGCTACGACTAGGTCTATTGTCAACGCGTCTCCACGCATTTCCAATGGAGTGAAAACCTAGACCTAGCTCTAAACAAGAGATTCGGATGCAGCCACAGATCCACGTGAAATAAACTGGCCCCTAGATACCACAAGCCTATACCCAGCAAGAAA